CAAGTAGAATTTGTATCCTAGCTCAACCATGTACTAGCTGGATAACTTTAAACAAATCGCTCATCTCTGTAAGCCTCTGTTTCCTGTGTGTAAAATGGGGATAATACTACATACCACTGCAAGATTTGAGGGAGGATGAAGTGAAATGATGTCAGTAAAGCTTTTGGTGCGTTCATAGACATTCAGTTAACGTTAGTATACTTCCCGTGTCTCTCTCTTGTGGTCTAGAATGTAGAATTTGAGTTTGGTAAATAATGAGAGGTTGCTTCAAGTTTTCTGGCAGTGGTGATAAAGTGGCCTAATTAAAGCAGTGGTTTTGGAAGATGGTTCCTAAAGCTGTATGCTGCACCTATTAAAGGAGAGGCTGCCTAGAGACAGGAATACGGCTACGGGAAGTCTGGAGGGTTGCTTGTGAAGAACTGAGGTGTAGCCTGAGGAAACAAGAAGAAAGAGCTGCGTCAGGAGAGACAGTGATGGATGAACAGGACTTGGCAGTGAAGCGGACTACAAAGGAAGTCTGGGGACATTCCTTTAAGATTGTGCACACAATGAGCCAGGGATGTTTAGAAAAAAAGTACTGGCAGATGGGAGGGAACCCTTTAAGTTGTCACTACCATGGAAACAACCTAACTGTCTATCAGTAGGGAACATGTTTGTAAATTATGGTACATCCAATTAAGGCAATTCTGTGCAGCCATTAAAAAAAGCTTCTGATGGGAATAATCTACGTGATAAATCGGTAAATGAAAAACTGCAGTGCAATATGGTATAAATAATATGCTACTGTTTATGGGAGGGAAAAGGGTTGTATGTACAGCTATGTATGAATTGGCTTATATGTGAATATACTAACTCTGAATGGGTACTTAGAAAAACAAAAACAAAAACAAAAAACCACCAGTGGTGGCCTGGGATGCAGAGGCCTGGGATGCAGGCTGTGGTTAGCAGTGGGAGGGAGACCAACATTTCATTGATCTCCATTTTAAAGATTTAAAACTTTGTAGCATGTGCATATCAAAAAAAAATGTTTTTAATAGTTCAAAATAAATTATTAAAAAAGTTGTTAGGGCCATCCTGACCACAGAAGCCCATGTTTGGTTTGAGTATAGCCCCTACAAAAAAGGGAAAGGCAGCAGTCATTTTTAAATATCCTAGCATGTAAGAGAAATACAGAGGCATTATGAAGTACCAGATAAAGCATGTGGGCTTTGGAGTTAGAGAGACCTGGATCTTCATTCCAACACTTGCTAGTTTCATGACCTTCAGCAAGTCACTTAACCTCTGAGCCTTAGCTTTCTCTTCTGAAAAATACCTTCTTAAGGTCACTGAGATAAAGATAATATTTGCCTGGCACATAGTGGCTATTCCAAAATGGTAGATATTATATTGTTATACATCTAAGACAGTCAGCCAAGATACAAATTACTTCTTATTGACTAGACAGTGGAGTATAGTGAGGAAAAGTATTGACTTTGGAATTAGATTTCCTGGGTTTGAACCTGCTCCATCACTTACTAGTGTGCAGTCAAGTTACTGAATCACTGTGTGCCTCAGTTGTAAAATGAGGCTAATAATAGTTGTACCTCATAGGGTTGTTGAGAGGAATAAATGAGTTGATGTACATAAAATGTGAGTTTCACAATGTGCATTTCAAATTAAGTTGACACTACCATGGAAACAATCTAAATGTCCATCAATAGGGAGCAGGTTAAATAAATTATAGTACATCCCATTAAGGTAATGCTTTACAGTTATTTTTAAAAGCTTCTGCTGGGAATATCTACGTGATAAACTGGTAAATGAAAAAGCTCAGTGCAGTATGCTGTAAATAATTTGTAGAAAAAAGTGCCTGGCACATAATAAGCACCAGATAATTATTTGCTATTATTATTATTTATTTACTATCATTATTTCTTTTTGTGTTTTTATTATCTTTCCAGACAAGTAAACCTGAGAACCTTTTTTTTTTTTTTTTTTGCTGTACTCAGGCCTCTCACTGTTGTGGCCTCTCCCATTGCGGAGCACAGGCTCTGGACGCGCAGGCTTAGCGGCCATGGCTCACGGGCCTAGCCGCTCCGCTGCATGTGGGATCTTCCCGGACCGGGGCATGAGCCCGTGTCCCCTGCATCGGCAGGCGGACTCTCAACCACTGCGCCACCAGGGAAGCCCAAGAGTTCAATTTTTTTTGTTTTTGACAAATGCATCTACCTGTGTAACCAAGACACATTTGGGTTCAGAACATTTTTCATCACTCCTGAAACTTTCTTCATAGCCTTTGCCAGTCCATCCCTATCCCAGTCTAGGCAGCCACTGCTCTGATTTCTGTTATCATAGCTTAGTTTTACCTATTCTTGGACTTCATATAAATGGAAGTATACAGTCATACCCTTTTGTGTCTGAACATGTATTTCAGATTCATCCATGTTATATGAATCCATAGTTCACTGTTTTTTATTGTTGAGTAGTATTCCATTGTATGAATATACCGCAGTTTGTTTATCCTTTCATTTGTTGATGGACAGTTGAGTTGATTCCAGTTGGGGGCAAATATGGATAAAGCTGCTTTAAACATTCATGTGCAAGTCTTTCTGTGGACATATGTTTTCACTTACCTTGGGTAAACACCTAAGAGTGGAACTGCTGTGTCATAGGATAAAGGGATGGTTAACTTTATAAGCAACAGTACCATTTTGAGAAAACACTGGTAAGAAAAGAGCCCCCATGTGGGAAGAGTGTTAAGTTGGAAATCATAACAATGTCTCCTCCCTCTTCCACCTTCTTCAGAGACAGAAAAGGAGGAGGAAGGGGATGGGCGGGAGGTAGAAAAAAATAGATTCTTAGGTTTAGTAGAGGAGGAGCTTTTCAAAAAGGTTTAGCCCTTTTGGCACGCAAATTCTTTTTTTTTTTTTTTTTTTGGATTAAAAAAATTGTTATTGAAGTATAGTTGATTTACAATGTTGTGTTTCGGTGTACAGCAAAGTGATTCAGTTACACATACATGTATATATCTGTTCTTTAGATTCTTTTCCATTATAGGTTATTACAAGATATTGAGTATAGTTCCCTATGCTATACAGTAAGTCCTTGTTGGTTATTTTATATATAATAGTGTGTATATTTTAATCCCAAACTCCTAATTTATCCCTCCCCCCAACGCTTTCCCCTTTGGTAGCCATAAGTTTGTTTTCTATGTCTGTGAGCCTATTTCTGTTTTGTGAATAAGTTCATTTGTATCATTTTTTTAGATTCCACATATAAGTGATATCATATGGTATGTGTCTTTTCCTGTCTGACTTGCTTCACTTGATAATCTCTACCTCCGTCCATGTTGCTACAAATGGCATTATTTCATTCTTTTTAATGGTTAATAGTCCATTGTGTATATACTGGCACACAAATTCTTAGTAACAACTTATAATGTACTTTTATTTCTAAAATCTCTTTTGATCTTCACAGCAGTGCTACAGTGGAGGCAGAGCACATCTTACAGGGTAGCCTGTTATAAAAATGAGAAAACTAAAGCTCAGAAAAGTCAGAATGACTTGCCCAAGGTTCCACAGCCAACCACTGTCTGAGCTGGGACCTGAGCCCCAGTCTTCAGACAGGAAGTCTTTGCCCTCAGTCCTAGTTCAAGCACTTATTAGCATAGAACCTTGGCAAATTATTATTTTTTAAGGTTTCTTTTTATTTTATTTAATTAATTAATTTACTTTTACTTTTTTGGCTGCATTGGGTCTTAGTTGTGGCACACTGGAACTTTTGTTGCAGCACATGGGCTTCTCTCTAGTTGTGGTGTGCAGGCTCCAGGGCACATGGGCTCTGTAGTTTGTTGCACGTGGGCTCTCTAGTTGAGGTGCACGAGCTCAGTAGTTGTGGCGCGTGGGCTTAGTTGCCCTGTGGCATGTGGGATCTTAGTTCCCTGACCAGGGATCAAACCCGCATCCTCTGAATTAGAAGGTGGATTCTTTACCACTGGACCACCAGGGAAATCCCTTTGGAAAATTATTTAACCTCTCTGGACCTCACTTTTCTGAACTATACAGTGAGTATAATAATAGTACCTACTTCAGATACTGAGAGGTGTGATTGAGGTAACAGTTGCATTATGTGCTTGGCATATAGTACAAGTGCAATAAATGTTAGCTGAGTCTGAATCTAAGGTAGATAAATATGTCTGGGCTGAAGAAAGTGTTAGTAAACTAGCCAATAATATGCCTGGTATGAGGGTGACATGTATGAAAGACTTAGGTGACACAATCATGTTCCCTCTCTTTGTTTTGTCCATATTCCTACCTGGAAGTGAATCCAGCCACAGGGACTCTTCTCTTTCCTAATTCTCTTCTCCTTCTGCCCTCCCCACAGTATCTCAAAGTTTTGGCTCAATGACATGTGGCCCTGCTCATAAAAAAGTTGGAGGCCTCTGCTTATAATGCAAATGACTTATATAAAGAGATGGAGAAGGATGGTAACCTAGCACATTGCTTGCTGCAGAATTCTTTATGAAAATAATCGCAATTCTCTAAATGCCCCTCTGAGTCAGTATACAATACCAGTAGTTTTGAGTCCTTGGGCAAATCATTCACTTTCTCTGAGCCTGAGTCTTACCTGGGAGTGCTAATAAGTTTCTGCCTTTTCTATTTATATTCATATGGCTTGTGTAAGCATCAAAAAAGATAAAGTTTTGAAAGCCATTTATGAGCTATAAAATGCTGTATACATGTGCATAGTTATTGTCACTCTTGTTGAACCTGTGGTTACACTCCTGCCTCCTTTTTCTCATCCACTCCTGTCACTGACCCAATGCTGGGGAAACTGGACTTGTCCAACTATTTTAGAAGGAGCTTTGTTCCCAGGGGATTAATTTTATTAATTAAGAGATCACTGTAAGGGAATTGGGTTTTTGCTTTAGAACGTGCAGCTGCAGAGCAAAGCTGCATCTACAACATTTGCCCATGAGGTTTCCCGAGAGGCATGGTGATGAGTTGTGTCTCCTTCTGCAGACTGACGACAGCAACGGGGACTTGGACCCAGGAGTCTTGCTGACAGCTCAGACCATCACATCTGAGACCACCAGCAGCACCACCACAACTCAAATTACCAAGGTAACAGACAGCTAGAAATTCCTTCTGAAATGCAGGGGCATGCCAAGCTTGCTGCCTCTCTGCAAGAACCCTGGTCCATAAGCAAGGGTTTTCAGCTTCTTCCCTACTGAGCCAAATTTTTCCCAGTGTCCAGGGTGGAAAGGCCGTGTTGCTTTCCCCAGCAATAAACCCAGGGAGACCCTGAGCATCCCTGTCTACTTCGTGGTCTCATTAAAGTCACATGTGGTTGTTCTCTTTACACATTCGTCTGTCTCCCTGGTCAGTGAGTCCCCTGTTTGGCTGTGGAGGTCAGCCTAAAAATTCAGTTTAAAAAGTCAGACGCAGAGTTCGCGTCTCGCCACAACTAGGGCGCCTGCCGAATGCTGGTGCGGGACCCCGATGCCCTAGGAGATGGGAAGAACCCCCAAGCGAACCGGTAGGATGTGGGGAGACTGAGCGGGGAGGAGAAGTGGAGGCTGGCCAGGACCAGCGCCCCTCAGGGGTGGCTGAGCAGGGGGAGGGGTTCCGATGCCTGGAGGGACCCTCGGGGGCTCAGGTCAGCGGGGAGCATGCCCAGCGTTTCCCCTGCCCAATGGACCGGAGAAGGCTGCCTGGCTCTCGGGCGGGTCCTACGCCCTCAGAGGTCCCCTCTGGGCTGGAAAAGGCCCTGGGGTCGTAGGAGGGAGGCCAGGAGAGGCAGGCGGGAGGGGCCCTCCAGGACCGGAGGGGAGGAAAGGAGCGAAGGGCGTTTGCCCCGCCCACTCGAGCCCAGGAAGCCAGGGGGGTTCACTGCCCTCTGAGACCAGAAGCAGGAGGCAGGGGGCAAGGGGCCCCTTCTGTTCTGTTGAGCCTAGGCCTCACCACGCCTCCCTCCTTCCCAGGGCCTTTTCCAGCCCTGTGGGTCCTAAGCATAGGCCCCACCCACCACCCAAACCTCGCCCCTGCTTAGGCCCGCCCTCCACAGCCAAGGCCTTTTTCCACTTTTTTTTTTTCTCCTCTTTTTTACTATTGTGGTTCTGTTTTACCTTCCAGTTGTTGTTTCATCTATATTTTTATTTTTATTTTTTTTCTAACATATCTGTTAGTTTCCTCATCTAATTTTATTTTTTACTTTGTTATTGTTCTCCTTTTTTTTTGGCCGCCTGGCATGGGCTTGCGGGATCTTGGTTCACGAGCCAGGGGTCGGGCTGAAGTTCCTGCGGTGGGAGCTCTGAGTCCAAACTACTGGACTAACAGAGAGCCTCAGACCCCAGGGAACATTCATCAGAATGAGGTCTCCCTGAGGTCCTCATCTCAGCACCAAGACCCAGCTCTACCCAACAGCCTACAAACTCCAGTGTTGGAAGCCTCAGTCCAAACAACCAGTAAGACAGGAACACAACCCCACTCATAAAAAAAAGAAAATAAAAAATAAGACAGCAGGGCTTCCCTGGTGGCGCAGTGGTTGAGAGTCCACCTGCCAATGCAGGGGGCATGGGTTCGTGCCCCAGTCTGGGAGGATCCCGCATGCCGCGGAGTGGCTGGGCCCATGGGCCATGGCTGCTGAGCCTGCGCGTCTGGAGCTTGTGCTCCGCAATGGGAGAGGCCACAGCAGTGAGAGGCCCGCGCACCACTTAAAAAAAAAAAAATGAGACAGCAAAAAAATATGTCACAGATGAAGGAGCAAGGTAAAAACCTACAAGACCAAATAAATGAAGAGAAAATAGGCAATCTACCTGAAAAAGAAATCAGAGTAATGATAGTAAAGATGATCCAGAATGTCGGAAATAGAATGGAGGCACGGATTGAGAAAATACAAGAAATGTTTAACAAAGATCTGGAAGAACTAAAGAACAAACAAACAGATGAACAACACAATAACTGAGATGAAAAATACACTAGAAGGAATCAATAACAGAATAACTGAGGCAGAAGAATGAATAAGTGAGCTGGAAGACAGAATGGTGGAAATAACTGCCGAGGAGCAGAATAAAGAAAAAAGAATGAAAAGAATTGAAGACAGTCTCAGAGACCTCTGGGACAACACTAAATGCACCAACATTTGAATTATAGGGGTCCCAGAAGAAGAAGAGAAATAGAAAGGGTCTGAGAAAATATTTCAAGAGATTATAGTGGAAAACTTCTCTAACATAGGAAAGGAAATTGTCACCCAAATCCAGGAAGCACAGAGTCCCATACAGGATAAACCATAGGAGAAACACACCAAGACACATATTAATCAAACTAACAAAAATTAAATTCAAAGAAAAAATATTAAAAGCAGCAAGGGAAAAACCAAAAATAACCCACAAAGGAATCCCCATTAGGTTATCAGCTGATTTTTCAGCAGAAACTCTGCAGGCCAGAAGGGAGTGGCAGGATATATTTAAAGTGATGAAAGAGAAAAACCTACAACCAAGATTACTCTACCCAGCAAGTATCTCATTCAGATTCAAGGGAGAAATCAAAAGCTTTTCAGACAAGCAAAAGCTAAGAGAATTCAGCACCACCAAATCAGCTTTACAACAAATGCTACAGAGACTTCCCTAGGTGGGAAACACAAGAGAAGAAAAGGACCCACAAAAACAAACCCCAGACAATTAAGAAAATGGTAATAGGAGGCTTCCCTGGTGGTGCAGTGGTTAAGAATCTGCCTGACAACGCAGGGAATGCGGGTTCAAGCCCTGGTACGGGAAGATCCCACATGCCGCAGAGCAACTAAGCCTGTGTGCCACAACTACTGAGCCTGCATTCTAGGGCCTTTGAGCCACAGCTGCTGAGCCCACGTGCCACAACTACTGAAGGCTGTACACCTAGGGCCCATGCTGTGCAACAAGAGAAGCCACCACAATGAGAAGCCTGTTGACACAATTAGAGAAAGCCCGTGCGCAGCAATGAAGACCCAATGCAGCCAAAGATAAATATATAAAATAAATAAATTAAAAAAAGAGAAAATGGTAATAGGAACATACATATTGATAATAACCTTAAATGTAAATGGATTAAATGCCCCACCCAAAAGACACAGACTGGCTGAATGGATACAGAAACAAGACCCATATATATGCTGTCTACAAGAGACCCACTTCAGACCTAGGGACATGTACAGACTGAAAATGAGGAGATGGAAAAAGATATTCCATGCAAATGGAAATCAAAAGAAAGCCGGAGTATCAATACTCGTATCGGATAAAATAGACTTTAAAATAAAGACTGTTGCAAGAGATAAGGAAGGACACAGCATAATGATCAAGGGATCAATCCAAGAAGATGATATAACAATTATAAATGTTTATGCACCCAGCATAGGAGCACCTCAATACATAAGGCAAATGCTAACAACCAGGAAAGTGGAAACAGACAGTAACACAATAATAGTATGGGACTTTAACACCCCACTTACACCAATGGACATATCATCCAAACAGAAAATAACTAAGGAAACACAAGATTTAAATGATACAATAGACCAGGTAGATTTAATTGATATTTATAGAACATTCCACCCGGAAGTGGAAGAGTACACTTTCTTCTCAAGTGCACACGGAACATTCTCCAGGATAGATCACACTGGGTCACAAATCAAGCCTCGGAAAATTTAAGAAAATTGAAATCATATCAAGTATCTTTTCTGACCACAATGCTATGAAATTGGAAATCAACTACAGGGAAAAAAAATGTAAAAACCACAAATACTTGGAGGCTAAAAAATGTGTTACTAAATAACCAAGACATCACTGAAGAAATCAAAGAAGAAATTTAAAAATACATAGAAACAAATGACAATGAAAACACAGTGACCCAAAACCTATGAGATGCAGCAAAAGCAGTTCTAAGAGGGAAGTTTATAGCAATTCAATCTCACCTTAAGAAATAGGAAAATCTCGAATAAATAACCTAACCCTACACTTAAATCAACAAGAGAAAGAAGAACAAAGAAAACCCAGAGTCAGTAGAAGGAAAGAAATCATAAAGATCAGAGCAGAAATAAATGAAATCGAAATGAAGCAAACAGTAGCAAGGATCAATAAAACTGAAAGATGGTTCTTTGAGAAGATAAACAAAATAGATAAACCCTTAGCCAGACTCATCAAGAAAAAGAGGGAGAGGATACAAATCAATAAAATGAGAAATGAAAAAGGAGAAATCACACCACACAATACACACACAGAAATCACACCACAGAAATACAAAGGATTATGAGACTACTACAAACAACTATATGCCAATAAAATTGACAACCACAAAGAAATGGACAAATTCTTAGGTACAATTTTCCAAGACTGAACCAGGAAGAATTAGAATATATAAATAGACCTATCACAAGTAATGAAATTGAAACTGTAATTAAAAATCCTCCAACAAACAAAAGTCCAGGACCAGATGGCTTCACAGCCGAATTCTATCAAACATTTAGAGAAGAGCTAACACCAATCCTTCTCAAACTCTCCAAAAATATTGCAGAGGGAGGAACACTCCCAAATTCGTTCTACGAAGCCACCATCACCCTGAAACCAAAACCAGAAAAAGATATCACAAAAAAAATTACAGACCAATATCACTGATGAACATAGATGCAAAAATCCTGAACAAAATACTAGCAAACAGAATCCAACAACATATTGAAAGGATCATACACCATCATCAAGTGGGATTTATTCCAGGGATGCAAGAATTCTTCAATATACACAAATCAATCAATGTGGTACACCATATTAGCAAATTAAGGAATAAAAACCATATGATCATCTCAATAGATGCAGAAAAAGCTTTTGACAAAATTCAACATCCATTTATGATAAAAACTCTCCAGAAAATGGGAATAGAGGGAAACTACCTCAACATAATAAAGGCCATATACGACAAACCCACAGCAAACATCATTCTCAATGGTGAAAAACTGAAAGAATTTCTACTAAGATAAGGAACATAAAAAAAAAAAAATCAGAAATCTTTGGCATTCCTATACACTAACAAGGAAAAATCAGAAAGAGAAATTAAGGAACAATCCCATTTACCATCGCAACAAAATGAATAAAATGCCTAGGAATAAACCTACCTAAGGAGGTGAAAGACTTGTACTCAGAAAACTATAAAACACTGATGAAAGAAATCAAAGATGACATAAACAGATGGAGAAATATACCATGTTCTTGGATTGGAAGAATCAATATTGTGAAAATGACTATACTACCCAAAGCAATCTACAGATTCAATGCAATCCCCATCAAACTACCAATGGCATTCTTCACAAAATTAGAACAAAAAACTTTACAGTTCGTATGGAGACACAAAGACCCCAAATAGCCAAAGCAATCTTGAGAAAGAAAAACAGAGCTGGAGGAATCAGGCTCCCCAACTTCAAACTAAACTACAAAGCTACAGTAATCAAGACAGTATGGTACTGACACAAAAACAGAAATATAGATCAATGGTACAGGATAGAAAGCCCAGAGATAAACCCACGCACATGTGGTCACCTTATCTTTGACAAAGGAGGCAAGAACATACAACAGAGAAAAGACAGTCTCTTCAATAAGTGGTGCTGGGAAAACTGGACAGCTACATGTAAAAGAGTGAAATTAGAACACTCCCTAATACCATACACAAAAATAAACTCAAAAACAAAACAAACTCCAAATGGATTAAAGACCTAAATGTAAGACCAGACACTATAAAACTCAGAGGAAAACATAGGAAAAACACTCTTTGACATAAACCACAGCAAGATCTTTTTTGACCCACCTCCTAGAGAAATGGAAATAAAAACAAAAATAAACAAATGGGATCTAAGTAAACTTAAAAGCTTTTGCACAGCAAAGGAAACCATAAACAAGACGAAAAGACAACCCTCAGAATAGGAGAAAATATTTGCAAATGAAACAACGGACAAAGGATTAATCTCCTGGGCTTCCCTGGTGGCACAGTGGTTGCGAGTCCGCCTGCCGATGCAGGGGACGCGGGTCCGTGCCCCGGTCTGGGAGGATCCCACATGCCGCGGAGCAGCTGGTCCCGTGAACCATGGCCGCTGAGCCTGCGCATCCGGAGCCTGTGCTCCACAACGGGAGAGGCCACAACAGTGAGAGGCCCGTGTACTGCAAAAAAAAAAAAAGAAAAAGAAAAGAAAGGATTAATCTCCAAAATATACAACCAGCTCATGGAGCTCAATACAAAAAAAACCAAACAATTCAATTAAAAAATAGGTGGAAGACCTAAATAGACATTTCACCAGAGAAGACATACAGATGGCCAAGAGGCACATGAAAAGATGCTCAACATCACTTATTATTAGAGAAATGCAAATCAAGACTACAATGAGGTATTACCTCACACTGGTCAGAATGGCCATTATCAAAAAATCTAGAAACAATAAATGCTGGAACGGGTGTGGTGAAAAGGGAACCCTCCTCCACTGTTGGTCGGAATGTAAATTGAACAACCACAATGGAGAACAGTATGGAGGTTCCTTAATAAACTAAAAAAAAGAACTACCCTATGATCCAGCAGTCCCACTACTGGGCATATACCCTGAGAAAAGCATAATTCAAAAAGAGACACGGGGACTTCCCTGGTGGCGCAGTGGTTAAGAATATGCCTGCCAATGCAGAAGACATGGGTTCAAGCCCTGGTCCAGCAAGATCCCACATCATGGAGCAACTAAGCCCAAGCCTGTGCTCTAGAGTCCCTGAGCCACAACTACTGAACCCATGTGCCACAACTACTGAAGCCCATGTACCTAGAACCCGTGCTCCACAGCAAAAGAAGCCACCGCAATGAGAAGCCCACACACCTCAACAAAGAGTAGCCCCACTCTGTGCAACTAGAGAAAGCCTGAGTGCAGCAACAAAGACCCAATACAGCCAAAAATAAATAAATAAATAAATAACAAAAAAACAGAGACATGTGCCACAGTGTTCACTGAAGCACTATTTACAATAGCCAGAGCATGGAAACAACCTAAATGTCCATCGACAGATGAATGGATAAAGAAGATGTGGCACATATATACAATGGAATGTTAGCCATAAAAAGAAATGAAACTGAGTTATTTGTAGTGAGGTGGATGGACCTAGAGTCTGTCATACAGAGTGAAGTAAGTCAGAAAGTGAAAAAAAATACTGTATGCTAACACATATATATGGAATCTAAAAAAAAAAAAAAATGGTACTGATGAATCTAATGGCAGGGCAGGAATAAAGACATAGACATAGAGAATGGACTTGAGGATGCAGTGGGGGGAGGGGAAGCTGGGGAGAAGTGAGAGTAGCATCAACATATATACACTACCGAATGTAAACTAGTTAGCTAGTGGAAAGCAGCAGCATAGCACAGGGAGATCAGCTCCGTGTTTTGCGATGACCCAGAGGGGTGGGATAGGGAGGGTGGGAGGGATATGGGCATATATGTATGCATATGGCTGATTCACTTTGTTGTACAACAGAAACTAACACAGTATTGTGAAGCAATTATACTCCAATAAAGATCTATTTTAAAAAAAGTCAGTTTAAGGGCAGGTGTTGTTGGCATTATTAAGCAACCATATTTTCCAAGCCAAAAATCAGAACTCAGGGTCTCACAAAGAATTTTTATGTCATGTCCAGGATCAAGGCCATGGGAACTGTAGTTTGGATGCTGAAATCTTGAAATTATTAGAATATTGTTTATGGGGGCAAGAGGGACAAAGTATCTAAAATTGGAACTACTCCCAGAAAATCAGAGACAATCCATGTTTGTGGTAGCACTAGATGAAAAAGCGTTTTCTTGTAAATAAGAAATCTAGATTGTTGACCAAGCTCCATCATCAACACACAGATGACTGGAAGCCAGTTACTTAATATGTCTAGACCATGGTTTCCTCATCTGTGAAGCAGGGAAACCTACCTACCCTGGGGGGATTATTTGAGGGTCTTTTGACATCAGTCATGTGAAGAGGTTTGAAAATAAAGAGTCTAATTTCAAGCTGCATGACATTTTTTGTTCATAGTCTTCTGATTTGTTTGCTTCTTGAAAACAATCAAAATATATAGGAAAAGAGCAAAAAGGAACACCTGTTTTGTTTACTCACAGAAATTCTTTGGTGTTTGGGAGGAAGAAAAAGGTAAAAATAGATAATAGAGAATTATGACTTTCTGTTTAGCTTATTAAAGGTTTTAGCAATACTAAGGAATAGGCGTGTGCTCATTTTAGCAGGTCCAGCCAAGATTTTGAACAAGTGTGTGAGAAAGCTACCCTAATCAGGACCTGGCAGCAGATTAAAATTTGGAGTATAGTTTTCAGACTAATTTCTTGCTGTTGTTTTGTTTTGCTGTTTGGGTTTTTCTTTCTTTCGTTCTCATATGGTCACCTCCCTTTTGTTTCAGACTGTAAAAGGTGGGATTTCAGAGACCCGGATTGAAAAGAGAATTGTGATCACAGGAGACGGCGATATTGACCATGATCAGGTGGGAATGCTGAGATCCTGGGCACGGGAGAGGTTTCTGGGGCAGGATCACTGATGGACACCAAAATTGGCTTGCAAAAGATAACAGCTTACGGGGCTTCCCTGGTGGCGCAGTGGTTGAGAGTCCGCCTGCCGATACAGGGGACACGGGTTCATGCCCCGGTCCGGGGAAGATCCCTCGTGCCACAGAGCACCGAGCCTGCACATCCGGAGCCTGTGCTCCGCAACGGGAGATGCCACAACAGCGAGAGGCCCACGTACTGCAAAAAAAAAAAAAAAAAAAAAAAAGATAGCAGCTTTATCTCCAAGGGGGCTCCTTAGCTAGCTCTTAATCGAGAAGAAGGACAAAGGGAGTCAGATCACTGAGGCCTTGGGGCGGGGGCCGTAGGTTGGAGAAGCTGGGAAGTGTAATGCAAAGAACATGGGCTTTACACTCAAATCCTAGTTCTTACCATATTCTAGCCCTAACTCCCTAGGCCTCTGTTTCCTCATCTATAAGATAGCATCTTCCTTCAAGGTTGTTGTGAGAATCAAGTGAGATACAGATGTACATTGTGGGGCATGTGGTGGGCTCCAAGTAAATAGAGCTGTTGCTGTTCAGGGGATATCATGTACCCAAACCTGTGCTGGAGACAGTAGATGATATCAAACCAAGATGTGGTCTCTACACTCAGAGGGGCGAGCTAGAGGGGACACAGTGTCATGCGCTGGAACTCAGGAGACCTGGAACTTAATTTCTGTCCTAGATCTATCACTAACTTGTTGTATGACCCTGGGCAAATCACTTTACCTCCCATATTTTTTTTTTGTTCTCTACTAAAAGAGAGTAGGTTGATCTAGCTAATTTCTGGGCCCTCTGAGTGCTAAAATTCTATGCTTTTATGTTAATTAGGTGCTAATTGTGTGCTTCGAGCAATTAGCAAATAATAAGGTCAGGATTAATGTTCCCAATTCTCTGCTGGGTGAGGTTAGAACAGTAGAGCTACAGAAAAGCAGGGGTGGAAGAGACTGCATGTAAATGCTTCTGGAATCATTGACAGGAGTGCTGGAGCAATAGTTCTGTGGCCTTTATGCTGATATGCTGAGTGCCTTAAAAAGAAAAAATAGACTGAGTGGCAGTGCTGACAGTTCCCTTGGTAGCAGGGTTGAGACTTACAGCTGAGAACACCGGGCTGAGGGGCCCAGCAACAAGGCTGCCAAAAGCCCAAGTGGGAGGCCTGTCACTGAGAATCCCATGCCGCCATCCCCCAAAGGCTTTGTTGTGCTCTTCCACCTTGGGGTGCTCTGAGCTCGAGGCTCAGCGACTTGCAGCCCAAGAGGAGTAGTCGTGTCATTGTTCTTCTTTGACTTTCCCTCTGCTCCCTTCAGCTTTTCTAAAATGATCAAAACTCCTCCAGATACTAAAATAGGGTCGTCATCCCTTCCACCTCCCTCTGAAACTAAAAAACAGTGTGGCAAAGAGGAAAGTCTGATAGACTTAAGTGAAAATCCCCATTGTGTTATTTACTAGCTGTGAAACGTTAAGCACTTTAACCACTGAACCTCGGTTTCCACGTCTAAAATATGAAATGAAGGATACTGCCTTAATTCATTGAGTTGTTGTGAAGATCAAGTAAATAATAATAAGTAATGTACTTAGGCCAGTATGTGGCATGTCATGGGCCCTCCCACTCTTTCTTCCTTTCTTGTCTCTACTTTAGCCAAAGACATCTCTTCCTTTTTGTAGCATGCTTCGCTATTTTCCTCTCCTGTCCTGAGCTTCCCGGTTACCCTACGCTGAACACAGATTTCACTTTGTTCTTTAGACTCCCTTTCTTGAGTGAATCTTCCCAGAGCCACCCAGGCTGTCACCCCTCAAGGCCCTCCCTGATTCCTTGAAGACAGCTCTAAGCTTTCCCTGTGTCTGTGTTTTTAGTCCAGGAGCCTCCCTAAGCAGGATAGGGTGGGTACGGCCATCATCAGCTTGGCTTAGCCTACATGCTGCTCTGGTTCTGTAGACAGAAAGATTGAACTTCCCAGAGAAATGGTGTCCTATGACTCCTGCCTTTTTCACCAGCCAGGCTGCTTTCTGCCTGATGGACGTTGTTTCTGTCTTTCTCAGGTCCTCGTACAGGCCATCAAGGAGGCAAAGGAGCAGCACCCAGACATGTCAGTGACCAAGGTGGTCGTCCATCAGGAAACCGAGATCTCTGAGGAGTGAGCTCAGGTATGGGCTGTGCTTGTGTAGTGGAGTCATCCCCCCAGAGGTGTCCACACTGGGACTTGATAAACCGAAGGCAGAGGAAGGCTGAGGAGGAGGATGTGAGAGGTCATTAAGTATCTGGCTCCAACTAGAGCAGCTAGGTCTCCTCCTGCCCTCAGCGGTGCCAGCAGTGATGGGGTGGAAGAGATACACCAAGCGTGGATGTAAATCCCACCCACCTCCTGAATCTTCACGCATCCTCCTGCTTCTCCACCTCCCCTCCCCCCACTTCTCCCTGCCGCTCTACTCTCTGCTGTCACAGGTCTCTCTGAGCCTAGACCTGGGAGGGCCAGAGGAGAGGAACAAAACCAAGAAAAGCTGCGCTAGATGTCTGGAAATGAGGGTTTGGGGGATAGGAAAGAAAGGGCTGAAGCTCTGGGGCCAGACTAGAGAGTTGGAAGCAGGATAGCTGCTTTCTGGGAGCCAGGGTTCCAGATAAAGTCATGCCTACAAGTAGTTTACAAGTAACTTGAAGAAGCCATCAATCACCAGGTAGGACGGGGCCCTGTAAAACCGCTCAGGCCCTGATTGTCACTTGTGGCCACAAGAACTTGGAACTGGGACTGGGTAGCTGTCTCCTTTGCGGGATTTTAAAACTTTGCTTCTTTCTTTCCTCTAGGAACTGTCTTACCCTCCCCCCTCCCCCGACTCCCTGCCCATCTCCCGTCCCAGAGAAAACCAGCAGAAAGATAAAGAAGCTAGCCTGCAATAGTCAGACTTCAGACTTTTAAAATGATTGATTCTAAACCACCAGAAAAGCAATTTCATTTTCTATTTGGAGTTTATACCAAGAAAGTCTTCTAGATATCACTGATCCTTTTGAATACATTTTTCTATATTGTGATACCAGAAATTGTTCAACTTTTCACTCTTTGGACTGTTTTTAAAGAGCCTTTTGTTTTTTTATGGGGTGGTTTGTAACCCCTTCAGCCCAGCCTCTCCCCATTTATACTGACAGGGTCCACAGCATTCTTCGGGAAATCCTCCAATGACTCTGTCAGCTGTGTTGGGGGACAGAGCCAGCTTAATGGGGCTTCCCTGCTCCTCCCCTAGTTTATACCCTTTAGATGGCAGCAGAAACTTCATAAACCAGCCCTTTCTCAGAGCCAGTGATGGAACTTTATCAGAATGTCAGGCAGGGCGGCTGCCCTGATCCAGAGACCCCAGGAAGATGTCCCTGTCCCTTTGCTGAGGGTGGTATGGTGAGGCAGAGGCCTCTGCTAAGAATGTAGTATTTTTTTCCTTCCTCTCTCCTGTTCTTTCTTTTTGGAGCTTCTTTAGATCAAAGACATAAGAAGTTGCTTCAGATATATCTGATACTGTGAATGTTTGAACATATCTGTGGCCTTCACCTTCCTGCCCTCCCTCCCCTTTTACCTCATCAGAAGCAGTGGCTCTGCTAAGTGCTCCCCCCACCTCCCATCTCAGGAGAGACCAAAACTCACAGAAAAATAGGCACTTTGGGCCAAAAGCACTGACCGCACATTTTTAGTGTTGATTTGGACAAAGAAAGTTGACGAGATTTTTTTAAAGGTTTTCTAGTTCTGGGAATGTGCACTTCACACAGGGGAGTGGTGGAGTTTACCTCAGTTGGATCCTGCTAAGAAGTATTTCCAGGAGAACATCCCTGAGCCTCTCTCTTTAATCCTGGGGTGAGAGAGGATGTGACTGAGAGAGGAGGCGATCATGGTCCAGACAGGCCCCTGCCTGCAGATACCCTTCTGGAGCGTGGGAATTGGCTTTTAGGGGCCACGCTCCCCACAAAACCCCACTTGACAAGGGGTACAAACACCAGCTCCACTAATCCCCACTTGCCATCTGAGGTCTGTCAGGTTTTGTGGCTTGATGTTTGTGGTGGGTTTGGGTTTAATTTTTTGTTTTTGTTTTTGTTTTTGAAAATGAGGACTGATGTCCCCAATTCCACTATTCCTGGTAAAGATTAGGGGACATTTTTATTCAGTAGGGCTTCTCTGATCTTCCAGCTTGCTTCCCACAAACAGATCTACCTACAAGTTCTTAGAATCCTGATTCTAGGACAGAAAGTGAGCTTCCTGAGGTGGACAGTGGGTCCCAGTGAGCAGTGGCTGGGGGCTCCAGGGCAGTGAGCAGGAGAGAAGTCTACAGCCAGTCTCTGCTGGCTGAGCTTTGTTTAGACAAACTCAGTGGGTTTGAACTGATTTCACAAGTGTGCGTTTTTCTCTTAGTACTTACTTGAGACTGTTACTAACCAACAGGTAGCTCTCTCTGGGCAGGGACAGGAAGAGCTCAGGTGGGATATGTGACAGGCTTGGGGGGGAAGGAGAGTGCCCTGTCTCAGGGACAGACAGCCTGGGGCATATGGTCTGGAACGATGGGGCTTTCCAGGCCATGCCCAAGCCCGAGCTTTGTTGCCCAGAGCGGTGGTGAGGTTGGAAATCCAGCTCACATCAAATAGGCATGCGATGTGAGCTCACTTGCCAATGGCCAGCTGTCCTGCTGGAAGAGCTGCCGGAGCTCGCAGAGCTGCAACCTGTGGAATGAAGATGGGGAAAGGAAGAGGGCACAGCATGCACATCAGGAACCTGGCACACTGAGTATTCTGTGCCATCCAGGTCAGTGTGGCCATTTTCACTGCCTAGGTCCACAAATCAGGGGCCTGAACTTCCCCTCAATCTGTCACCAATTCACTTCACCCTGCTTCCTTGTCTATTGGACCAGAAGATCTCCAATGCCCTTCTGGCGCTGAGAAGCCATGATTTGGACAAGCCAACACGAGGGGTGTTCTTCCAAGCCTCTTTCCTTTTCCTCCCTCTCTGGTTACAGAACTTGGGGTTTGGCGATTGTTTGGATCTCTTTTTTTCTTCCTGCAACTGTGTGTGTGCGTGTGTGTGAAGAAAAACAGACTGTCCAGGTGGAAATGGTGAAGAGGGAAGAGTTCATTTCCAGTGTCAACAACTTGGCAGTTTTCCTAAAGTGACTCAGACACGGCACAGGAACAACTCTCACTGCAATTTTATTTTTATCTCACTTCAGAAACAAAGATTTCTTCCAAGCCACGTGAGGTCTCTGTCACCCACCTACCCAACCCACCCACAAAGCAGGACCTGAATTTATCCGCTGAGGGCCCACAGAGCCTGGCTGCAGGGACCTGTCAGGGAATCTCTGCCCGCCCCCAGCCCCCCAGCATGTGTTCTGCGGGGCAGCTGAGGGTAAGGGAGCAACAGTCCACCTCGGGAAATGGAGCCAGGGCTATGGCCTGACCAACACCAAGGAAGGCTTGTGGGAAATACCTGTCCAGGATCTTAGCCCCAGGCTGGTTGGTTTTACAGATCTCTCTCAAATGTTTTATTTTGGTGACAAAAATGAAGGAGCTTTGTAAATTAAAAAAAAAAAATTATGAATCATATCAAGTAGTTGTTTACATTTCTTGACAAAATAGGAACTATGCCAGCCGAATCAAACTGGCAAAATCCTTAGATTAAATAGGCAATAATTAGGTCTGCCGTTTTGGCCTTTTGTAGTTAGAGAAGTGGTGGTAGTGTTTAGATACTGTTTGGTCTTGCTTCTTCTTGTATTGCATTTTTCAATAAACTTTAAAAAAAAAAAAGGACTCTGTGAAGATTGATCAACTTTTAAAGTTCTCTTCTCTTAACTGGCAACTCGGGAAAAATTAAACGTGCGACAGGAAGACCCAAATCCAAGCCATTTTCTAAAGGTGTCCACATTGACCAAAATGCAGTTTCAACATATAAAAGGATTTCTGGGAACTGGCATATGCTTTTTGCCAACTGGAGGGAAATTTCGTGGCACAGGCCACGACAAAGGAGAGAAAGGGGGCTTCTCAGACCTCTTTAGGGAGGGGCCAGACCCTCAGTATGAAGGCACTGGCAGTAGTGTAGCCCTCGTGGGATATACCCTGCATGGCTGAGGGGGGGAGGGGTTGACATGGTAGGAATTAAAGGCTCAGTCTCCATCCCAGATGGCGGTGGAACATCTCAGCTCCACCCCATTGCCCGTCTTCCCAGAGGCACAAACCCTATCACTAGTGCCACCTTGGAGGGAGCCTGTCCCAGCCTGTAACATCACAACCTACCTTCCAAGTCTTAGGGTCCTTGCCCACCACTTTGGGTTTGCCAAGACACCAGATACATCTCCCAATTACCCTGGCCTGGACCTCCAGCCCCCTCAGGTACCTGTCCAGGGCTAAGGCCACTTTTGGAGGCTGAAGGAATTCCTAAGGCTGAGTCATGCTGGTCTCCAGATTCCACGTTAAAACACATTCTCTCCGGCTTTTTGAACCCTTGTGCAGTTGGCATTTCTCTGCTGACATGCAAGTCAGGATGCCTTAGCAGCTGCTGGGGCCAGAGCATCCATCCCGTCTGGGATGTGACTGAAGCATCTACTAGACATTGGGACTCCCATCCTAGTCCTGTACCATGGTCCATGCTGCAGCCTCATAGCAGGCTGTCCCCTGCTTCTCAGACCCGGGCCCCCAAGTCCCCTCCTCCTCCCAACTTGGCGTAACCCCCCAGGCTAAGGCGGTCCAGCCGTGGCCAGCTTCGGTGAGCACAGTCCCGAGCTGCTGGGGCCCTAAGCAGGAGCTCCCCAAGGCCCAGATCCAGAGACTTGGAATGTTCAATGCAGGAACCAGAGGGCTGCACGGTGATAATCACATGGCCAGTCTGGGTCCGTGGACCCCAGGGTGGGTGCAGCCCTGGGCCCTTAAGTGGGTAACTGTTGAGCAGGGCAGGTAACCCCAAGCGAGGATTAGCAGGCTCTGAACGCAGACTCCGCACTGACGGGACTGGTGAGGTACCCCGACGCGGGGACAGGTCCCAGCTTTCTGGCTCCACGCAGCCTATGGCTCGGGGAGTCCTGGGGCCGGGGCTGGGGAGGAGAGCGCAGTCCCAGCCCGGGCCGTCCGGGGGTCGGAGCGCCTGAGCCCGCAGCACCCCCTGACGAAGCCGTCGAGTCTCCAAGTCTCGGTTCTCGTAGAGCAGCGTGTTGGCGCAGATGAACACGAACAGGCCGACGCCCATGACCACGGGCCCAAGAAGTCGCAGCCGCTCGTGCGGGCCGTGGGCCCGGCCGGCGCCCCGACCCTCGCGCCGCAGCTCGCTCAGGGGGGGTGCGCTGGCGTTTGCAGCCCGGGGTCCCGGGACCCCGGCGCGGTGCGGCCAGTAGCCGGCCACTGCGATGCCCATGCCCACCAGGACCACGAGCGCCCCCAGCGCCGCGAACGCCCCCGACGGCGATCGCAGCCGCAGCCGCGCCCGCACCCGCAGGGGCTCGGGCGGGGAGCGCGGGCGCCGGCGGCGGCCCAGGCGGCGGCCCAGGCGGGAGACGCGGCCCTCGGGGCTCCTCCGCAGCTCCCCGCAGTCTCCGGGGCTCCCAGCCGTCATCTCTCAGTCGTCTTGGCGCTCTGCGGAGAGAAGGTGGGGGGCAGGGACTGAACCGACGGGCCTACGGTCGGAGCGCCAGGTCGGGGGCCCACATCCGGGAGGGAAGATGGGGCTGCCTGGCCCAGGACGCTTGGAGATCCCTGGCGGCCACCCCCGGATTTTCCCGGGCTGCGAGGCGGGGAGCCGCCCCCGCTCGGGTTTTCCGCAGCGGAGCTCCGAGCCAGGGACGCGCGGCAGAAGCCAGAGTTGGCCGGGCCCGCGGGCGGAGACCAGGGAGGGGGTCGCGGGCTGCTCCTTGGCGCATCCTTGGCTGCGGGGCTCCGGCCGCCTGCGCCCTCTTGGCCAGCTTGCGGGTCCCGGGCCTCGGGAGGTGTGGGGCCCCCGGCAGCGGAGTCTCCAGGGTAAGTGCCGCCCGAGCTCGAGCTCACCCCCGCAGGTGGCTGCACCGTAGTGAAGGAGGGAGAGGAAACTCAGCCGCCCGGGTCCGCTGGGGTCGCTCGCGGGCCCCACCTCCCCTCTGCTGCGCTTCAAGTACCGCAGGGAAGGAAGGAGCGGGTGTCGCGGCCTCCAGCCTCTTCCTGCCCGCCTCCTTCCAGACCTCCTCAGTGAGCACTGAGGCTGCAGCAAGAGAGACTTGAGCTGGACTCTGAGAAGACCGCTCTGACCAAAACAAGTGGCAGATTTGGCCCTGGATTTCTTTAAACTCCGCGAAGAAGAGGCCGCCCCCTCCTCCAGCGGCCGGGCTAACGCCAGGGCAGGAAGCAGGGGGCTGCGGGTGCCGGGCGCCGGGCCTTGCCAAATGAGCTCCCCTCCTGTCTCTCCTGTCAGCCCGGGCAACGCTGTCCCCCCAGGTTGCAGCGTTTCCAATTCGGGCTCCTCGGGATGAAACATCGCCTTTTCCAGCCGCCTGGCCTCCTTTCCGGCCTCCACCGCCCGAGGCCTCAGTGGCCCGCGTCCCGGCCGGAGCAGCACAGCCCTTGCACCTCTGGCTGCCGCAGGGTCTGCGCCGCCCGGCTTAAGCCCCTCCCGGCTGCTGGTGCGGCCTGGCCTGTGGCCTGAGGAGTGAATCCGGGCCGGGCAGGAGTCGCGGGGCTGCGTGTGGTGTGGCCCCCACGGAAGGGAGGATGTGGGAGGAAACGGTGCCCCGGCCGGGGCGCTCCGGCCTTAGGAGAGGAGGGTTAGCACCTCACTGTCCAGTGGTGCATCCTCACTGCCCCAGTCTGGTTTCTCCACAGCAGCAACGTTGGAACCCGTAGTCGAGGCCCCAGGAAGGAGGCCTTGTTACCCTACTCACTCCCCATTCGCACCCCCGAAGCTCAAAGCAGGACACCCCATCCCTGCCTCCTACAGGAGCGCTGAAGGCCCAGGGCCTAGCATAGAGCCCCGGCGTCTTCCGCGTCCAAAGCCTGGCGTTCACAGAGGGAAACTGCGGCCCGGAGAGGCGGAGGGGCCTGCCAGGGTCATAGGCCACACAGGATGAGGGCTCTACTAGGACCCAACGCTGGGCACTTCTCTGCTCAGCCCCGGGAGCGTCCTGGGAGGAGGCGAGCCCCGTTCCCCACCCCGGTCTCTGAGTGTGCAGCCCTTTCCCCAGCCCCAAACTGGAGAAATGACCACCCCGCCCCAGGCCAGAGCTGGCGCTCCGGCCCCAGCTCCGGAAAGGTCACCCCTGAGCCACCGCAGGTCCTGGCGGGAAGGGAAGCGGAGGCTTGCAGAGAGATGGGGACATGCTTAGAGACCCTGAGACTCTGGAGGGCGTGGGTCGACGCTGGGAACCCCGGAGACGCAGAAACTTGGAGACACAGTCCGAAGGTCCCATGTCTCGGGAACTTGCTCGGGGCTGGATCCCGGACACTCCGGGGTCCCGACTCCTCGCGCGTCCACACACCGGGGAAAGGGGGAACCGGGCTCCCGACCCCCCACTCAGCGCCCATCTGGAGGGAGAGGCTAAACAAAAAGTTGGGGAAAGTGGGGGACGAACCCCAGGCTCCTAGTTTTGCTCACCTGCCGCCTCCGCACCCGGCTGGGTCCGGGTCCGAGTCCGCGCGCCGCGGCTCGCGGCACTGCCGCGGTCTCCTAGGAATCCCGGCCCCCGGCCCCGCCCCCTGGCCCGGCCCCGCCTAGCGCTGCCCTGGCCCCGCCCTCCTGGAGCCCCAGGGACAGTCTGGCCGGGGCCTGGCCAGGCCCCACGGCTGGAAGGAGGCAGCGACTCAAGTCTGAGGCTCGCAGGTAAGCGCTGTGTGCGCGCCCGGTGACTCGCAGGATCCGGGGGCTCGAGTCCCCCGCTAACGTCGTTCAGAAGGCCTGGGAGGGCGCCCTCTTCCCACGTGCGGAAACTGAGACCCAGCCCCACAGCCTGAGCGAGCAGACAGGATTCGAAGCCCGCACGCCCTCCCCCGTCTCGCAGAGTCCCTCCTTCCAGTCGCCCCGGAGAGGAATCTGGGGGCATCTGAGAGCCTACAGATGCCCAGCGCCGTCCGGGGAGCTTCCGGGAGGAGGTGGCCGGAGTTCCTGCTTCGCCCGACCCTACTATCTGAACCTTCCTCTGTCTGAACCTCACTGCCTTCACCTGTAAAATGGGCATAATGGTGTCTGCCTCGCCAGATGCTGAGAGGTGAAAATCCGGAGTTGAGGGCTGGGCGCACAATACGGGCGCAGCCCGGGGTAAGCCCACGAGCGCTTAATGAAGAGTAATCACCTGGGGGGGAGGGTAAATAGAGATGAACCAGGTTCTCAGAGCTGATTGACTCGAATGGAGTGTCGCGGGTCCTGCCGGTCTCCCTAACCTCCCCGAAGATCTGCCCAAGCTGGAATGGGGAGGCGGTGCTCGTCCCAAATCAGAAGGAGGGTTCGGAGGTCCGCGGCTCCCCCTGCGGACCGGCCCGAGGGAGGTAGCGCAGCTTTCGTGCCCCGCCCGCCCCCAGAGGCAGGAATGTGGAGCGGAGCCAGGGGGGTCGGCCGGCGGCCCAGTTTCCATGATGCGGGGGGCGGACTCGGAGGAGGAGGAGTGGTGCGGGCAGATTGCCAGCCTCAGCGCCGGCCCCCCCTCACTCCCGCAGCCCAGCCGGGCCCCTCGGGAGGAATTTCCGGCCTGGGATTCATTATAACCCGCCCCTCCCCCCGGCCGCGGAGACCCCCCGGCACGCGGGGCGCTAGCGGAGGGGGATGGGCGGTAATGAGACCCTGCTGTGCGCCCGGGGCGGAGAGGGGGAACTCGAGGAAGTCGCCGGCCTGGGCCACCCAACCCCGCTGCGCGTGGCAGAGTCAGGTCCCGGAGCCACCCTGCACAGTTGGGCCTCGAACCCAGGCTCCGGCCCTGTGGCTCGGCGGAGGAGACCAAGGGTGGCATCAACGACCCCGGGAGCCCCTCTCCCAGCTCCCGGCGACCGGACATCCTCCGGAGCGACCGAGGCCAACGCTGGGGGCGGGGCCTCCGGTGGGCCGACCGCGAAGATGCCAGGGTCCCCGAGGAGGCCACAGTGGGTGGGGTCGAGCCTCGGCTCCCGGGGCCTCATCCCTGCGGGTCCGAGAGCGAGGCCTTCCTCGCTTCCTGCCGCCCGCGCGGCACGCAGGGCTCCTGCGGCCTGAGCTCGCGTCCGGGCTGTTTCCTGGGCTCCACTGAGGCAGCGGCCTCCTTTCTGCCTCCTCCCACTTCTTGCCTCCGCTGTTTCCTTTTCTGGAGACCCCTTCCTTCCTCGCTCTGCACTTGGTCTACTCCTCACACACTGACCCTACCTCTGCCCTCTCAGTATTTCCCCAGCACCCCACCCGACACCGCTGCCCCTCCCCGCTCACTGCTCTTCCTGGGAAACACCAACGCTAGAGGCCAAAGCCCGACGGTCTCCCGGTCCTTGTCCCCCTACTCCACCTGCCCTGGCATTTGCCACTTGCTGCTCCCGCCTGCCCCTCCCGGCTTTCCCCGTCCTCAGCGCTCTGCCCTCCCCAGTGCTGGGGCTTCTTCCATCCTGGGCCATGAGGCGCGCCGCGCTTCCAGCAACCAGCCGTATCCCTGGGCCCCGTGATCAGCCCCATTGCTGCGCCTTCCGTTCCCCCCACTTTGTGAACGGCCCCACCCCCACCCTAAGGCCAACTACACCGGGGGTCACCTTAGGCTCCTTCCTCTCCTCGTTCTGTCTAATCCATCAAGTCCGGTGGACCCCGCTCTTGGGATGTCCCATTAGCTGCTTTCTCCCGCCCCAGGGCCCCTGTCCCTCTGCAGGCCCTCCTCGCTGTTCCACAGGGAGGCACCAAGCATCCTTCTACACGGAATCTGAACCCGTCACTCACTCCCTGCTTCAATCCCTCAGTGGCTCCCCAGTGTTGTCCAAGTGGAGTTTAAATCCCTTCTTACCTCCACTAACTGGCCCTGGCCCTGGCCCTCTCACACTCCTGCCTCCTGGGTAGCTGAGCTTCTTTCCATCCCCTAATCCTCTGTGTTCTGGCCTCTGCACTTGGCACCTGCCTTACCTCCTATAACAGGCACCTACTCCCCTTCACCCTTCAGACCTGCCCTGGGCTTTCTCTAGGCCCCCAGCCCAGCCCCTCCTCTAGCTTTCCATTACAACACACACACACACACACACACACACACACACACACACACACACACACACACACAC